CCCCAAAACCCCAAAACCCCAAAACCCCAAAACCCCAAAACCCCTAAAACCAAATGTAAATTGATTGAGTGATTGACAAAATTGAAGATAAATATATAAAGTTAAATAAACAATGGCAGCTAATGACTTTAATCTCGATAAGCAGGAGTACTAATCAGTCTTCAAGGTTTTTGATAGAGACAACTCAGGGGAGATTAATATTGGTCAAGTCTATGAGCTCATTAATAAATTTGATGAGGCTCAGCGCTATGCTGATGGTGGAGGTTCAGGAACAGCAGATGTTTCAATGAATATCGGTGGAATGAATTAGAATAATAATGTGGGTGGACTCAATCTAAATAATGCTGGAAAATCCACTGGTAAAAACAACAACACTAATGCTGGAGGCAGTAAATCACCCACCAAAAAGCCAGGTGATTAAGGTAGAGCACTCGGTGGAGGACTGCAAGTAAAACCAACAGTTTTAGAAGGAGGTAAGAAATAGCCAGCTTTGAATTTCATAACATTTTTTTCAGCAAACGGTAAAAGTCCTCGTATGTTGAACGATAAAAATACTTCAAGTACTCAATAATAAAAAGATTCTCAGTGGTCATAGCCGACTCAAATGCTCTCGGACGAGATTAACTTTGGCAACGCGCCATTGATCAAGGACCAACTAGAAGATAAAAAGTGTGGAGATCAGCAGTCACAGCCTACTTTCCCGAACGGAAAAACCACTTTAAAATTCGATGAGTTTATAAACATTGTGAAAGATTCCTGTATGGACAGGGAGCAGGCCGAGAACTATCTCGTATATGCTTTTAGCATGTTTGATAGAAAAAAGTAAGTCTATTGTTATTGATTTGATATTATTCTCATGAGAATGTGCTGATACACCAATGTACTTAGAGCGCATATCACAATTTATGATATAATTTAAGAGCAGCATTTTAATGCATTTATAGGAAGGGATTTATCAATACAGAGGATTTGAAAGATGTATTCAGTTTATTAGGCGAGAATGTCTCTGATGATGAAGTGAACAGTAAGTATAGCTTAATTTATCTCAGCTAATTTATTAAATGGACAGATTTAATTAATAATATCTATAGCTATGATAAAAATAGCAGGCGTTAAGTCTAATGATAAGATAAACTTCAAAGAGTTCGTTGATTTCTTCTACAAGATAGATTGAGATCTGAGTATTTCAAAGTATATGAAGATGAGTCGATGTGTCTGGGTATTCGATTCATGCTAGTAACAATATCTCTTATATCACCCCAGGATTATTATATTAGTAATAGTTCTGTCATACCTCTGTATAGTTAATTCGTTCAAATATTTCTATTTTGTGCTTTTCAGTATATTCTGGACACTAGGGGTTTTGGGGTTTTGGGG